ATTATAATAGCAGATATATTTACATGTTGACAATTTATATTTTTTCTGTATTTATTTATAAAAGATACCATTGTAGTAGCTGCCTGTTACAGCAGGATCATGTAATTCAAGTCCTGTATAGATCTGTAACCAGAGAAACCTTGTTTCATGAAAACTGATGGCAGATCAGTGATGATTTCATGATTAAATATTTGGAGGAGACTATAGAAATTAGAGGGATTTGGTTCCCATTTGCAAATAATTGATATTAAAACTGAGTACTGAGGTACTGAATTTAAATATATTATTTAAATAGTATATTTAAAACAAAGTGTGTATATTTCTACAAATATATAATGTGTATTAATTCATTATGCATGTAAATTCATGTTTTTAATCCCATTATTCCAAAGCATATTCATTGCTCAGGCCACCTTACTCAAGGAGGTGGGTTATAAATAGTTGAGAAAATACTTGGTATGATTCTATGATAGCTGGATATTTGACCTAGTGACAGGCGTAATGTTCACATGACATGTGTAACCAGATTATACAAAGTCTTAGCAGGAGCAGTTGCTCAATATGCTTGGCTAGTATTAACCTTTGTTTAGTATTTCATGGGTTGGAAGAGGATACGAATCTAATTCAGTTGCTTAGTTGGTGAAAAAGGTAATAACTATGTCGAGAATGTTGCATGAAAGCAGCCAATGTATCTGATGTGAGGACTGTAAACTGCTAAAATTGATAAACTGTAAATTCTTTGGCCAACATAAGTTTAATAATTCATTTTCTAAACTGATAAACTGTAAATTCTTTGGCCAACATAAGTTTAATAATTCATTTTCTAAAGCTGCTTCTTCTCTTGTTCCTTTTGCTTCTCTCGTTTTACTAGAAACAATAGAAACAGTAATTCATATCCATGATGTAACCAATGCAGTTTTTCTCTTTTTCTTTCTACAATAAGATCTTCTGGAGATAACTCCAATATAGCTACTGTCTTTAATCACTTAAAAAGGCAATAATTTAATTATAGTAGCCTCTGAGTAGCAATTGCCATTGCCTTTGTGTTCACTTCCAGTCCCTGCAAGTAAATTACTTCAATAAGATTCTCCCTCCATTCTTTACTCACATTTGTTCTACAGAGACTGCATATAAAATATTAGCAATATTGCAAGGACAAAACAATTCTGTGCTTTAGTTAGGAACAGAGGGGGGGTTTCATTGTAATGATATATTGTACCCCTTTTTTATGCTGAACACAACACTGAATGCACTATTTTTTGTGCCATACTGACATCAATGGGCATGAGCAACAGAGATATCTGCTGAACACTAGATTTAAATAGCATTGGTTAACTGGATTGTCTAGGATGGCACAAATAGACCATTGTGCATCAGCTCAAATTGTCTTTGGGGAATCTTGCTAGCTAAAATAGTTTTGTTCATAAACAGATCAACTCATTAAATAATTCCTGCTTCTTAAAAGTTGTCATTATAAGCACCATTTTGCACCCAGTCTTAAGAGAAGACTCATTATCCTGTTGGATTCATTTCCATCACTCTCAGTTATTAATAGTTTCAGAGATACTTTTGCCCATTAGAGCTTGTTTGGTAATATGAATTATACAGCGAACAAAAAAGCCACCTTAAGCAGTACATAATACTGTACTTACCTTAAGTCAAAGAACATTTAAATTCATGAGAGCTTAACATTGCAGGAAGTGTAAAATCCATATCAATTTAACCTAGGATTGGAAAATTCACAGCTAGTTTTCTGCATGTTTGCTGCTATCTAGTGGCTATTCAGAGTTTTGCATGCTCCACCCTGGTAGCTTTGTTATGTCCTCCAAATCCACATAAGTGTTAGTTTTGTTTATTTAGAATTAGCTTTATTTTTTAATGTATTTATAATGTATGTTTATTGTTTTGAATGACTAAAGGCATCAGGATGTGGATTACAAAGGGGTGAAAGTCTTTCATGCAAACTATGTTTCTTCAAGGCACTGACTATGGAAGTCAATCCTTTGAAAGAAGACCTTCAAAATTAATTTCTTTTCCATGGCTTTAGTTTTCCTTTGAGTTGTCTTTTTATAAAATTGTTGAAGTCCTGGGCTGTACATTTCATATTTTAGTGGCTTGAGGTTAAAATGTTTCTTATTGCTGCTGAGTTATCTCTCTCTCTCTCTCTCCCTACCTACCTACCTACCTACCTACCTACCTACCTACATCTATCTATCTATCTATCTATCTATCTATCTATCTATCTATCTATCTATCTATCTATCTATCTACCTACCTACCTACCTACCTACCTACCTACCTACCTACCTACCTATCTATCTATCTATCTATCCAGGGCTTTTTTTCTCATAGAACGCCCAGAACGGAGTTCCGGCAACTTTTTTGGATGGAACCTTGTAGGGTAGGCAAGGCAGGTTGTATGACATGTGTGAGTTCCGGCACCTTTTTTTTTTTTTTTTTTTTTAGAAAAAAAGCACTGTATCTATCTATCATCTATCTATCTATCTATCTATCTATCTATCTATCTATCTATCTATCTATCTATCTATCTAAACAGATACACACATATATATGTGTGTGTATGTGTATGTGTATATATAATATATATATACATATATAATTTCAACTTGTTGGGTTTTGCAGCTTAGGCATAAATGTTTGTGATAAAAACATTTTATCTTCTAAGATGGTATCTGATTTTTTTAATTAAAAATGCTACAGAAAATAATCAGGTTTTAATACAATGTAGTTCCAAATAAGAGGAAGCACCACTTCAATCTAATTCAAGATGGACAGAAATCTGTGATCTTTCAATTGTTGCTGCACCTGAAATCTCAGCAGCCTGCAAATGCAAGGATGAAAGGCACTGCAGTTCAGCATGATTGATATACAAATAGGGATTCTTTATGCATATTTATTCAGAAGTTAATTGTCCCATATTTATCTGAACTAAGTTCTTCCTCACACAGTAGTTCTTACTCTTAAGTAAATATGCATCTTATGGCCTGCCTTAGGCCATAAGGCTGCAACATTATGCGGTATTTGTGTTCATCAGTACTTAGTTACAACTAAATTATGACAGTTTTCATATCTGAGGCAAAGCAAAATACAATGCTGTTAGGTCCAGTTCAATTTGCAGTTATCTAAATCCAATAAACCAACAGCACCACGGACAAAACTGTGGCACATGTAATTATGAGCAGGTCTCCTTATGCTCGTTATGTAATACCTCCCTGCTCTATAAGTTGCTGTGATCACATGAGGTTTCCAATTCAAAGTGCTGATTATTACTTATAAAGCCCTAGGGGGCATATAGTCTAGTTGTACCTGTAATTGTCCATCTTCATTGGTTTTTGTCCAGCCTGTACAATCTGACCAAATTGCTATACTGTGGATCTCATCAATTAAACATGTCATCTACTGAGGCCTTGGAAGTGTATCTTCTCTACTGCAGCACTCTAGAACATCATCTCTGTGGAGATTTGAACTGTTCTAACCCTGCCATAAATGAGCCTTAAAAACTTGGTGCTCTTCCCAGACGCTGGGCCAGGATAATTGCTGGAGCTTTTAGATTGACATAGCATGGAAAAGATGGTTTTTGTTGTTAGGTGCATTTCTGTCCCACTGTAGGCCACCCATATTTATTTTGGAGTTCAGTTGGCCCTAGGAATGTGTTTTATAAATCAATTAATTAAACAATAAATTCCCTTTACTATTCCTCCCCATAAATTGATACTAATAATGTCTGAGATAACTAGTATTTTGCTGCCATTCCCTGATGAAAGTTTAGATGTGAATTTTTCAAACTACTTGATGATGTAAATCTTCATATTGTATTTCTTGCTGTCATCTAGTAGTTGTCTGGATTTATTTCATCCAGAACCTGTAGCTCTTTCAGGAAGATTTGGTATCACATGTTAATGTGATATTAATGCATAACCTGGAACATCAAGTTATTGATTCTTATGATGCTGTTTTCTGAGCTATTAGATTTCTTTATTTTTATTTAGCATATGGCATCTAAAGAGATCATGAAATCACTGATATACACATTTAGTTTAAATAAAGCATCAGCGTGTTTTAATAAAGACTTTTTTTAAATAATCATTTTTTTTAAAAAAGCTTTTTGATGAATGGATACTCAATATAAAAAATACAATGAATGCAAAATTTATAAACCCACAGCATAGTTGATGTTCTCATCTTAACAAAGCAGAGAAACAAAGCAATAATAATGTTTTGCAGTTGTATTAGAACTGTCAGGTATTCAGAGAGCTTCACATAATTAATCAGAAGATACTGTATGTCATCATTATAATCCTGTATTAAACAGATAGAATGACTGAGGTAAAGAGAATGAGAGAGAGACATATAGAGACAGAGACAAAGAAGAATTGCCAATGGCTGTTTAGTGAGTTCATGGCAGTAGTTAAATTTGAAGTTCAGATTTCTAACTATGTTTCATGGCCATTACCACAGCTATTAAACTGTAATAGCTGAGCATTAGGAGAACATGAATGGAAAAGATTCCTTGGAAGCTAGTTATATGTTGATCCTTCTTCTTCTGATTCAGCACAGTACCACTCCCACAGACTGTTAGTTCCAGCCAAAAGACTGCTGTTTGTTCCACAATGCACCATATTTTTGTTTTGCAACCACAATGACTAATATTTTAAAAAAAAGTTAAAATAGTTAAAAGAAAGTAGCAGGCATAGACAACTTCAGCAAACTATGATCACGTGTACAAACTTAATGCATTGTTTTCCTAGATCAGAAGAACAGTCATTATGAACATTTTAGTATAGGTTGGTATAATATGAAATTACAAAGTAGGAAATTCAGAAAGATATTTTGAAAGTGGCCTTATAGGAATATGGAGTAACATTCTTTATTTTATATCATGTTAATTACATACATGCAGTACACATGAGCAGTAACTGATTAAATGCAAAGGTAATTTTTTAGTTGGTGTAATATTTAGCATGCTGGTTTTTTTACAGAGAAAGTGTAGAGAGTCTTATACAAAAGCATTCCTATGCTCGATCCCCCATCAGAACCTATGGAGGAGAAGATGAAATTCTGGGAGATGATAACCAAACAACACAAAGCCGAGGTAAGAGGAAGTAAACCTGATGTACTCCTCAAAGAAACTGCATTTGGAAAATAGAGGCATATCCCACCTCCACCCCACTTCAGCAATGTTGCATCTCTTTGAATGTAATGTCACTTAGTCACTTATTTGCATTCATATCCTACCACTATCTAATTTTTATATCAATTCAATAGCAGACTATTTAGACAGAGTCAAACATTATACCTGTAAGCTATCAAATAATGCATAGCAAGCCTCATATAGGCAGATGACACATTCATTCAATCATATAGGCAGATGGCACAATTTAGAAGATGAAGAGGGTCTTTTGTAAGCTCTTGCTACTGCATCTTAATTTTAATAAAATGAATACTTCATATTTATGTTTGCTCAAAAGTAAAAAAAAATGCAAGATTGATTCATAGATATGTACAGCTACATATCAACGCTGTGTTTCAAATATCAATAGGTGATGTGTTTTAAATATCAACAAGTCCAAGGGAGCATATTTCCTTTTTCATCTTATGCTTCCCCAAATTGCAAGGAGCATATAGGTTAACTGTCTTTGTTCAGTTAAGAGGATTTAAGAGCTGTGGTGGCGTAATGGTTAGAATGCAGCACTGCATGCTAATTCACTGCTCACTCCAGAAGTTTGATCCTGACTGTCTCAAGGTTGACTCAGCCTTCCATCCGTCCAAGGTAAAATGAGGATCTAGATGTTGGGGGCAATATGCTGACTCTGTAAACAGCTTAGAGTGGTCTGGAAAGCACTATGAAACAGTATATAAGTCTAAGTGCTATTGCTATCTAAATATGTTCCATCAGCTATTAACCTGTTTGAGACAAATGTTCAAAAGCACAGTGCATCAACAAAGTTTAATTAAGCTTGAGCATTGATTTTTATATATTTAACATTCTTAAATATGTATTTTAAAGGAAGCTGTTCAAATGGTCTTATCCCAACCAAGGGACATAGATTATTATTTTTAATAATTACTTAAAATTTATAATTTTGTCCAAAAAGTAGGGTCTAACCTTAATTTTCTATGAGGAGTTGGCCTATAAGCTTCTGCAATAAAGATATTTTCCCATCTGATTGTACTTACAAAACTGCAGAATCTTTGTAATATTTTGCCTATGGCATTCTATGCTTTGCAATACTATATCTATTGCATTCTACCATCAATAGACCAATTGTACATTCAGAAAGATTCCTTATTCTAGAAGAATCTGTTCTCTCTGGTTTTGCAGAGAATCATGTAGCTGGTTAATAGTTTCTCTCCTTAAAAAATTTCCATGGATGACTAAATAAATTTCTGCGTTTTTTTCTCTCTGACTATGAATCAGCAACAATGTTTGAGGTGCTTAACTTTTCTGAAGTAGCTTGTAGAATAGCTGATTATTTTTTCTCTTGATAACTTTAACTGAATATCTTAATATTGACTATATTTAACAATAAGTTGTGAGTATTGTTTTTTTTAACCCTTCCTTCCTTCCTTCCTCTTAATTTGTTTTTGGTTAATCCATTATATTGTCAGTAAACATATTTGCCTGGTAAGCAAGCTCAAAATAGTTATTAGAAAGCCAGAATATGTGCTAGCTTCATTGGAGGTTGCAGAAAAGGATGGAGATCTATGAAAATATATTTGCTTTCTAGATACAGAGGAAACATAGCTCTCTTTGTCTGAACTTATCCACAGGTCTATTTACTTTCCTATTTGGATTTCCATATGCTTCTAACCCTAATTCTCCAGCATAATCAAGCCTTATTTTCTGTTATGCCTGAAAACATTCTGGGAAAAATGACCTATATGTCTCTAGAATTGCCTGGGGCAGTATGGGTTCTAAAATGCCATATGCATTGCTCATGATTAGAGCTTCTTCTAACATAGTAGTATGGGTCTGATATTTTCCATTTTCTATACATACAGTACTCTACTGGGATGTATGTGTTGCAGATAAATCTTTGGGTACTGTTATATAAGGATGCACAATAGTACCTAAAATTCTCAAATGACACTCCCCCCCCCAAATCAGATAATTTATACTTCCAAATACTTTTTAATGTGACTATTGGTAACATCCAACAGATTCTTTGGTTCCTGTTCAAATGAATGCTGTCTAGATTAGTTGCACTGGCTTTGATTCTGTATAGTTAAGAATAGACCTGTGGATTAACCTCCTGGGGTGATTCATTATGCTATTATACTGCAGTTATCTTCTGTGAACTGCCTGATATGCAGTGACTACTTCAGGAACGTGCTGTATGCTGGCATCTGGCAATGTTTTTCTTTTGCTCTCAAAGCTTACTTAGAGTTGCTATGATAGCTGTGTTATAAACATGACACAACTTCTTTGAATCCCCTAAAGGTTTATATTGCTTCTCCTTGTTTGCAGGATCAGCTTTTACCACATCTGATAATTTGTCCCTCAGTTCCTGGGTCTCATCCTCTTCAGGTTTTCCTGGATTTCAACATCCACAGTCCTTGACTACTCTTGGTTCCAGCAGTGCCTCAATAGCCACTCCAATTCCTCACCCAATTCAAGGATCACTGCCTCCATTTAGCCGCCTGGGAATGCCTTTGACACCTTCTGCCATTGCTAGCTCAATGCAAGGAAGTGGCCCCACATTCCCATCTTTCCATATGCCCAGATACCACCATTATTTTCAGCAAGGGCCTTATGCAGCAATTCAGGGACTACGCCATTCTTCTACAGTGATGACACCTTTTGTATGACTGACCCCAAGCCAAGGAGAGGCAAGATTAGGCCCATAAGAATGATGAACATACAGTATTGCAAAGACCCGAGAAGAAACATTGTAAGAATTGAAGAGAAAAACCAGCCTGCATGAGACATGATGAAGGGATTAAAGTTACATGAAAAATGTGCTAATCAGAGTGGCTGGGAAGTCTAAACCTAATGTTGCCAAATGGATTCTGAATGTAGCAAGGTTCCAACTATTTGCAAGATTATGTGAAAGTGCATCATAACCACTAGATAAAAGGCTGTGTTAATGCAATAGTATATAGCTTTGCTGTCCCAAAGATGCTTTTTCATGAGGCAACTGGACTCTGTTTTTTTTTGAAGACATTTCATTTCTCATCCAAGAAGTTTCTTCAGCTCTGACTGGATGGTGGGGAATAGGATTTATACTCCTTGCAAACAGCTGGTCATTTGCATTCTTTTAGAGAGCCATTGAAGCCATCTGGAGGTTTATCTGTGTCATCAGGGTCACCTGAATAATGCAAATGGGTATAGAGCCTTCTTGGAACTTTTTAAAGGACTGTGTTGTAGACTGGAGATAAATGATGCCGTATCCCTCCTTCTTTGTTGAGACAATTTTGATATAAATGGCCTTTTTGATCCCTCTTTTTAACAAGTGGTCCTCTCTGTCCAAAATGTGGACTTTGCAATCCATCTGCATTTAAAAGACGAAGGCCACTCTTTTGAAGACAGCAAATGTCAACATCATTTATCTCCAGTCTACAATACAGTCCTTTCAACAGTTCCAAGAAGGCTCCACACCCATTTGCACAACTCAGGTGATCTTGACGACACAGATAAACCTCCAAGTGGCCACAATGACTCTCTAAAAGAATGCAAATAACCAGCGGTCTGCAAGGAGTATAAATCTTTCCATTCCCCATCATCCAGTCAGAGCTGAAGAAGCTTCTTGGATGAGAAGTAAAACATCTTCAAAGAAAAACAAGAAAGTCCAGTTACCTCCTGAAAAAGCACCTTTGGGACAACCATGACCTGGATGACTGAGAATCTCCATAGACATATAGCTATGCTGTTTCTAGATTTCCTTCTCAACAAAGGCAAAAGAGGCAATATTGGTGTAGTGATTTCATGGGGGGGGGAGAAATGAGCATATTTAGTCATTGCAGTTCTCTCTAGAAGACACAGAAGGAAATGTTAGTCAGCATTACCCTCTCTCTTCTTTTTAATTCCTTAAAATATCAATTTCTAATTAGATGGAGGCCATAAATCACTGGAATTCCTTCTACAGAATAGAATAGAGCTGGAAGGGACCTTGGATATCTTCTAGTCCAGCCTGCCACTTAAGCAGGAGAACCTACACCATCTCAGACAGGTGATTGTCCAGTCTCTTCTTAAAGATCTCCAGTGATGGGGCACCCATGATTTCTGGGGGTAGCTGTTCCACTGGTTGATTGTCCTCACTGTCAGGAACTTTCTCCCTAGATCCAGGTTGCTTCTCTCCTTGATCAGTTTCCAACCGTTGTTTCTTGTCCTTCCCTCTGGTGCTCTGGTGAACAACCTGACCCCTTCTGCCTTGTGGCAGCCCCTCAGATACTGAAACACGGCTGTCATGTCTCTCCTATTTCTTCTTTTCTTTAGACTAGCCAAACCCAAGTCCCACAGCCATTCTTTGTATGTGTTAGCTCCAGGCCTTTGATCATCCTAGTTGCTCTTTTTTGATTCCCCCCCCCCCAAATTCTCAACATCTTTTTTGTGATATGGTGACCAGAATTGGCTGCAGTATTCCAGGTATGGTCTTATTAGGGCTTTGTAAAGCGGTACTAGTACTTCGCGTGATCTTGATTCTATGCCTCTGTTTATACAACCCAGGATTGTATTAGCTTTTTTGGTTGCTGCTGCACACTGCTGGCTCATAATCAAGTGATCGTCCACTAGGACTTCAAGGTCCCTCTCACAATTACTGTTTTTAAGCCGGGTCTCGCCCAATCTGTATTTGTGCCTTTGGTTTTTCCTGCCTAAGTGTAGGTCTGTAGAACTTTGCTTTTCTCCACATTGAAACTCATTTTGTTGGATAGGGCCCATTGTTCAAGTTTGTCAAGATGTTTTTGGATCCTGAGTTTGTCTTCTGGAGTGTTGGCTATTTCTGACAGTTTGGTGCAGTGAATGAAAGTTGTGCAAGTGCAGCATGCACTTTTGCAAAAATAGAGCATGTATGCATGTATTAATCTTTTTAGAATCAAAATATTTGTACATAATTTTTCTCCGGTGCATTATGCCCAATCAGTGCTCCAGACATTGAATATACTTATTGGTGACAAAGCTAAAACAAACAAAAAAACCCTTCAAAGTTCAAAGTTATTTTAGTTCAAACTCAGCACTGCTAAAGTGCATCGACATAAATACTGTACATATGCACATAAAATGATACTTAGCTGGGAAACATTTCTTGGAAAATCTTGGATTGAAGCAATTTAAACATTGGCTTTCTGGAATGGAACAAGATTTAAATCTCTTAAAGAAAATCTGAACATAAAATAACTTCATATTTTACCCTGAATCTTTTCACTTATTTAGCAAATCAAAACATTACATACTGTTAAATTTCTATCAGAAAATTATAGCAATGCAAAGGGATTGCAAAGCAGGGCAGACAAATCTAGAAGCAAGACTTCTAACTGAATATTTTAACTGGTATAGACTAGATTAATCTTACAGTAGCTTCTTTTTTACCCATACTGCACTCATTCAGTTCAATGAACTCCCTGAAGTTTCTTTCAAAGAATAAAAATTGAAATTCTCACAAGCTGTTCTTATAGTTACTTAGAGCAGATCTGCATTTGTCATCACCAGTATGGGCAATCATTGCTTTCTGAGTGCAGGAATGGGTAGCATTTCTACTCCCAACCCCTTACAAATATATTTCCAGCTTTGATTCAAACTACTGTTTTCCAATTTGACTTAAACTCTTTAGAAGTACCGCATTCCGTTCTAGTAGCAGACCCAACTTCAATTGGGTGTAGTGCCTGGCATGTCCCCTCCTCTTCAGCATCTAATCACTTACCTAGGCAGCCATTTTCTGCTAAGCTGTTATGTTCTCTGCTTTAAAAAAAAAAATCTTGTGGTTGATCCAGTAATGGCCTGATAAAGCAATGAACGATTCTGAATCTTAAATAGTCATATTCCATCCAACCCTTATGTTATTTAGTAAGTGCCCTTTTGATTTCTGTTTTCCTTGCTTTACAATCTTTGCAAAGCTTTCCTTTCCTTATTTTTTAACATCTTAAAGTTGCAATATAAGATATATTTTTTTGTAAAATGAACACCTAGTTCTTTCTTGCTGCAAAGTTTCCATTGACCTACAGAGGAATATATGAACAAAAGAAAATCTTATTCCTATTGCCTTAATTATTGTAGTATCAGACTAAAATAGTACCACAAGAGAAAAGGGAAAAAAGGAGAAAATTCAATATCAAAAGAGATGATGTGGGAAGTGGAAATGAAGGAATTCATGTGTATAAGTATCTGGAGAGGACAATAATGGCACAAAGATTAATAAAGAGGGGACAAAGCCCAGTCTCTGAAAACTTGCTGTCCCTTCATTGATGGAAGGCAGGGGAACAAATATCAGATGTTTGTGGTAATCATTGTCCAGAGTGAACACTAACTAGGCCCTATTGCCAATTTATTGCAATCTATGGGATACAAGCAACGTAGGTTGCAGTATGGAATTGCTCTTAGTTATACTTCATATTTATCAACTTTTTGATGGTCTGCAGTCTTCCTCAATTCTCAGTCTTCAATTAAAGCATAAAGGAAGACATCAGGAGTAATTCCTTCCCACTGGGCTTTTGCAGCAGAAGTGCTCCTGAGGGCTGTTACACATGGGGGCTATTCTGTTTCTGGTGCAAAATAGCCTGCACGTGATGTCATTGCCTATAATCTGGAAGCAACTCATAACAAGCAGTTCCAAATTTCAAACCTTCAAGTGAAGGTTTCCCTTCACTTTGGGAGGAACATTCCATTCCATTCTTGTCTCCTATTCTTTGATTTTGGCTGGAAGCCTGACTTACCATCATGCCTCTCTTAACGGACAGAATGTAAACTAATCCTGTGGAAGGGGCAGGGAAAATCAGAGGATATGTTTGTTCTCTTTTTGGTGTCAGCTATCCAACCCAACAAGTCTGAGATGTGACAAATCTACATTTTAGGGATGATAATGATTGGAGAAAGTGGTTCAAACATTTCTCCTTCTGCTGTGAGGAAATTGTCTACCCAATTTCCTTGCCCACAAATTTAGACAGAAATGCCCTTTGAGGCCAGCTCTAATTTTAGGGGAGAAGTCACCTGCTCATTTTGATATTATACTCTGAAAAAAAGATTGCTAGCACCCAACTGCAATTCTGGGCCTTTTTAAAATGCAAACAGGATTATTAAGGCAAGAATGAAAAAGAGCTCTACCAAAGAGAAAAACAAAGATTAATACTCACAAAAAGATGATCTCCAATTAGATCCATTATTGCCAGTTTAATAGAATAGAAGGTCTCTTTCTCACTGATAGATATTTCTAGACAATAATTTTACAGAAAGCTGGAAGTTAAGGTCATTATTTTAGGTTTCCTTTATATTCCTTTACATTAGAATTTTAATATTTTAAATTGAAGAGTATCAAAGGCCAATATAGCTTCTTAAATGAAAGCTTTCTTCCCATCAGGTGTTTGATGCTCCATTTGTATCTCAAATCTTCTAGCCCAAAAACCAGAGTTGGGGTGGGAACTCAAGCTGATAGGAATGGAATTCCTGACTCACACTTCTACTACATTTTTTTCTGAAATCTTTAGTATAGGAAGAATAGGCAACCCATACTTCCAAGCTCCATTTTGAGAGTTCAAAGATAATGTCTCTGAAATTCAGGAGCAAAACACCTATTAATGCCAGCACAATTGTTTGGTGACAAAAATTGAAATATAGGTAAATTATATTAGACTTAATTCTTCCCTATTTAATTATGCTC